GCAAACAAACCCTTAGTTCAAGGCCCCAAAATTTTAAGGGCCTATCTAAGCGGAGCCCAGCCCTTAAGTGAAAAAAAAAAAAAAAAAAAAAAAAAAAAAAAATTATTCTTATTTTCACGTGAAAGCAGCTATCTTCCTCCTCCAATCCTTCATTTACTCCCATAATTATCCATATTCTTCTACCCTTGTACTTTGAAAATTGAAATTAACTGCTCCCAAATTCCTTTAATTTCCTATAATCTTCAATCTTGTTTCCCATTTAATTTATTGTTTTATCCCCAAATTAAAATTAAACATTTTGCCTTCTATGGTATGAAGAGGATTTTCTCAAATCTTGAATTGCTTTCAATGGAGAAATTAATTTCGTGTTTTGCACAATTAAATCCCTTAGTGCTCGTTTATGATTAAATTTTCGTATTTTTCCCCATAAACTCCCGAGTTATTTTTTTATTCACCAAATACCCATGAAAATTTTCATATTCACCATATACACTCAAGTTTCATGAAATTATCACAAAATGTCCTTAATGACTAACAGGAGTTAATTTAGTTTGTCATTAGGGTTAAATATGCCATGTGGCGACATCTTATTGGTTATTGAAAATTATTTTATTAATTATTTTTAAAAAAAACTTTAAAAAAAAAGAAAAGAAAACCACCTCCAGCCCACATGTTAGTCACCTTCCGCCGGCGCCACCACACCATCGCCACATGTCCCCACTACCACCTGTCCTTCGCCACAGCCCCACCTATCCTTCCGTCGGCGCCACCCCACCACCGCAACATGTCCTCCGCCACCGCCACTTCCCCTAAGCTGCTTAAACGTAAAAACCACCACCCTAAAACCCCTTAAATCGTAAAAGCCTCTTCTCGCCTTTCACCATCGCCGAAAATCAGCCACCACCCCCGAAACCCCTTCCCTGGTAGCCCAGACCCCTTCCTATACGTCGCCGCCGCCCACCTTAGCCGTAAACCACCACCCCAAAACCCTAAAACCCAAAAATCGAAACCCTAGATTTCGATTTTAGGGTTTTTTTAATTTAGGGTTCCGACGTGGTAGTTTAAAGGGTGGATCTTGGAGGGAAAGAGCCGATTTAGGTTCACCGGCGTGGGGAGGGGGGCTTTGGACGCCGGCGGTGGGGAAGGGAGGGGTTTTCGAGGGAGAAAGGGGGTTTTGGGGTGTAGGGGAAGGAAAGGGCGCCAGTAAGGGGTGCCTGGTCTGGGTCGCCGGTCGGGGGTTCAAGGCGTCGGCGCGTGGCGAGGACATGGTGGTGATTGGGGCTGGACTGGGGGTGGGTTAGTTTTTTTTTTTATAACTAATTAAATAATTATTTTAAAATTTAATTAATTAAAAAGACAACCAATAAAATGCTACCACGTGGCATATATAACCCTAATGACTAACAGACGTTAACTCCATTAGTCATTTGGGCACTTAGTGACAATTTTGTTAAACTCAGAGGTATATGGTGAATTTGAAAAAAAAAAAAAATTGGGTATATGGTGAATAAAAAAAAACTTAGGAGTATATGGTGAAAAATCTGTTAAATTTTTTAGCCCCTATATTATTTTCAATCTCTTATCTTTTTCAATAACCAGTGTTATCATACTCAAATTTTTTTTTGAGAATAAAAAAAATAAGATTCATAGTATTAAGTGGGAATGAGGGGCTTGCAAAAAAAAAAAGGTGGTATAAAGGGTTAATAAGAAAAGCCAAGAGAATTGCTCATAGTCATAGCCATGGAATTGCTTAAGTGAGTTACGGAAATCAAAGTTACAAGTTGTTTCAATCCTTTTTGCACTTTCAATTATTAGATTAATTGCATAATTTGTTGTTTTTTGGGTGAATTGTTTGTTTAATTATAAACACTATTGCATTTTTATTTATTTTTTTATATTTTATGCCTCCCCAAAGAAAGTATGTGTTTAGTTATGATACACGTATGAGAAAGAAAAAAAATGGAAGAGTTAACTTAATCTCAAAGAGGAGCCTTGTTTATCAGTTTAAATAGTTTGAAGTTTTAGTAATTTAGATTGTATTGGGATATTAATCATATTATTTACAATTTAAATAAAGTAGTTTGAGATTTTGAATTTCGTTTAAAATTGTTAATTATTTTGTCTATGATAATATATTGAGATAATTTTTTAGAAAAAAAATTCTTCATTACTTCGTATTTACAAGGGCCCAATTTTTAAGTTTAGAACAGGGCCCCTATAATGATTAAGACGACCCTGATGATACGGTAACATATTATATGACAATACGATAGCAAATCTTAAAAATACTATGACACATAAGTTGTTACAACATTTCTTAAAAAAGAAAGCATGATTATTTAAATAAAGATGTTAAAATTGCAATAATACATTAAGGTTAATTATTATGCCTATTATTACCCCCAAAGTTAAGCCACAAATGTCCACTAAATCCGACTTTAGGGGTCTATTCATATCTTCACTACGAACACGAGCTCTATTACACATGTAATTATCCAAACTTGCAATTCAATTTTCACTATTTTGGAATTGGAAGGGTTCATTATTATTTCTGCTCCTTGATGATGGAGGTGGTGCTTGATCATATTCAGTCGGATCATAATACATTGTAGGTATCTCATTCATCCTCACGATCATATTATTCATAATTATGCAAAGCAAGCTATCATAATTTTTTCCAGCATTGATGCATCACGAGCAAGAGCAGAATTTCTTATTATTGCAAAGCAAGCCTGTAATACTCCAAAAGCACTCTCAACGTCCTTCTTCTTATTCTCTTGTTTCTCAGCAAAAAGACTCTCTTTTTGTTTTGTGGGAGGGATATAGTGGGAATAAATGTCGCCTATCTAAGATATATACCATCAGTAAGGTAGTATCTCATATTGTATTGGCGGTTGTTTACGACATAGCTAATAGGTGGTGCACGACCATCAAACAGATATATTAAATAAAGGAGAATTATCAAGAACATTGATATCATTGTGACTACCCAATGTCCCAAAAAAAAGCATGTCAGGTCCAAAGATCATATGACTCAACGGCTTCCAAAATTAATGTGGGCTTACCGGCTTTTCCAGAAAACATCCCTTTTAATCGAAGAGGGAAATTCTTCCACCGCCAATACATGCAATTGATGGATCCGAGCATTCATGGGAAATCTCTTCATTCTCCAAATCTAAGTAGTCTTACCAAATCTTCTTCATTGGGCTTTCTAAGGTATTCATCGCTAAAGTAAGAGACAACACCTTCAACAATATGTTGTTAGCAATCTCTTGTAAGAGATCCACTAATCCGAAAGTAGTCTTCCACAAAATCAGTAGAGGTGCCGTATGATATTAACCTTGTAGTCGTTGTGCATTTCTGCAATGCTAAAGCACCAAATCTACCAGTACCATCATGCCTCTGTTGAAAGAACAAATGGCGTTCTTCCAAAGTGTTTTTTATACGGAGAACGACATGTTGCCTCATTCAAAATCTTCGACGGAATAAATGTGTAGGGAACATCGGAGGATCTACAAAGTAGTGGTTCCATAAACGAGCTTGTTCATCTTCACGATTTCTTTCAACAGGCTTCCTTGGTGCTCTCGAAATTTGATTTAAAGCTTGATATATATTTCAACTGGATTAGACATCATTACTTGATCCATCATTCGATTAAAAACTCGATTTGCTTGTCTACGCCTTTTATAACGTTGATCATATCTATCATTTGATAATTGAGTAAGTAGGTTGGAAACATTTTCAGAATTTTCAGAATTAGAAGAGTAAGAAGTTTCCTCTAAAGGCGTATTTTATGAAAGACAGTTTAATATGAGAATATAAGGTTGAATGAAATGTAAATACATATAAACCTTTTTATAGCACAATGGTATATGTATGCTATCAAAACAAATATGTACACACAATAACTACATTATTCAGAACAATAAATGTCTTCCATTCGTAAGTCATATCAATTGTTTTTTTGTGATCATTTATGTATGTAAAGATGCTTGTACATTGATATATACTTTCGGCAGTGTATCATCAATGCACCATATATTGATACTTTGTAGTGATATGTACATCAATGCAGTATATTTTTAAAACAAACATTAATATCTAAAAAACACTTGAACTTAAACTTAATTGTGGAAAAAAAAAAAGAAATACAACAATGGGGTAAACATAACTAAATAGAACCAAATGCAATAACTTAAAGCGAACACTAATGAACTAATTTATTGGAAATAACTATTTCAACAGATTATTCCTCTGCTCCTGATATGTTTTAGATAAGTATGGCTTTGAATCAAGATGTTTAAACAACTTCATATTAATTTTTCTTTGCCTTTTGCTTCTCTTTCCCTTTCTAAATGAGTCTTTTCCCTTTCCGCTTGAAACAACTCTACTTCTTTTTCTCTCTGGTACTTCAATTTTGTAAGGTACATTTTATTTTCAGTTTGCCGTGTTAGGTTCATATTTTGGATTGTGTCCAACCATTGTTCCCATGCTTCTGATGGCATATTCGCATTTTTACTCTTACCTTTGTTTTTCCTAGATTCATCATTTGAAGGGAAGCCGGAACACCCAATATCACCATTAGTTGGTGTCTCTGGGTTTGTTGATCACTAGGCGAAAACACATAATCCGCACCGGTTCAAACCCCCCCTTTTGCACCGGTTTTGAACCGGTCTTTATTTGGGGGGTGCTAAAACCCCATACATTTCGCACCGGTTCAAAACTGGTGCGAAATCAGACTTTTCACACCGGTTCTGGGTGAGAACCGGTGCGAAAAACCACACTTTTGCACCAGTTTTGACTTAGAGACTTAGAACTAGTGCCAAAAGTCCCCAAAAATATTTTTAAAAGAACTTTTAGCACCGGTTCTTTTCCAAAACCGGTGCCAAAAGTCCCCAAAAAAATAAAATAAAGTTTTTTTTTTGCATTTTTTTCGCTTAAATTGTACCAAATACTTATATATAATCATAATATACATAAAACACATATATTTCTTCAATAACTTGTAATATTACACTTTAAAAAACTAAAAAAAAAAAAAAAAACACACACTACATAATCAAGGAGAAATGAATTTCTGAAGACCATAGAGATTAGTACTGTCAATGTCAGTCTGAAAATGGAGAGAAAAATTATTAGGAAGCAAAAGCCAAATACACTAAATTGTTAGGAAGCGTAAGCCAATTGCAGATGGAAGAAGTTGCAAGAGAAGCATTGCCATGGCTTTCTTTGAGTAGATACTCCTGTAGGTGAAGGAAATATTTGAAATCATAGCGCTGATAAAGCCAAGCCAGTTGAATGATAACTCAGTCAGGGAAGCCATAGAAACACCTGCACTCAAAGAATTACCATTCATAAGAGTGTATACAATATTTCATTAGGGAAAGGGTTTTTGTCAATGCACCCTTATAACGAAAATCAATAACGTAGTAGTGTAACCTTGTGCTTCTTATTTGCTTTCTTTCATATGGTATTTGGAAAAGTTTTATGCATGTATTTGTGTAATTTGTCTATTACTTTATATTTATTTATCCATTACTTATAAGAAATCAGCAACCAAAATCTTTAAGTCAAGAGAGCTCACTACTATTTAGTAACTTTACCCTTCCTGTGTTTAATAGAATGAAGATGATAACCAAGAAAAGATACCTACCAATTACAACTGGAGCCAAGGAGAGCCAGAGAGTAATGGGGATAGACTGTCCGAGAACGAATTGAGAAGCAGCAGCATTGAAAAAGGGCTCCAGAGTTGCATGATAGCAAAGAGAATCACATATTAAGAATTAAAGACTATAAATACAAATGTAGTCAGTTAGGTGTCCACCCTAAAGATTGGTTTACATGTTTTCAAGAGAGTATGATTAGTTTAAGGCTTAACATAGCAACTGTGGAATACTGGTAGCTGGACAACTTGGAGATTCTAGTTGACCACTCTTTTTTTTTCTTTTTTTTTTTTTTGGAACCAAAGCCCCAAGAGGGAACTCAATTATCATTACTCGACTGAAAATCAGAGATAGCCAAATTACAAACACACTGAGGAAAATCAGACATCCAAACTCTCCTATCAAGACCCCAAGGAAACACATGAGCAAGCTCATGAGCCTCCTTATTACCTTTTCTACCCACCCATGCCCAAGAAATACAATTGAACTTGCTAGCAACAAAGTGAATATCCTCCAACAGAAGCTGGAAGGAGTGATTGCCAGCTTCACCTTCTTTGATAGCATGAATGACGCTCTCACTGTCATTTTCAACCACCACCTTGATCACTAAATTCCCAAACAATTCTCAAGCTAACAAAATCACAAAGCAAAAAACATTAGACTAAAAAGACAACTACCACTCTTGGGGTTGGAAAACTGGAGCAGTGCAAATATAGACACCACACAGCTAGTAAAATTGGCAACAACAAATCAGAAGAAATAAAATAAATGAAAATGAAAATTAAAGTAACATACATGGTCCAGTAAAGGAGACATGGTAACAGCATTCACAGGTTGCTCTGTACTGTAGGATTTAAGGAGAGTTAAAGTCTTAACACAAATTGTTGTGTGCTCATATAGATAGCCAAAATAGTAATACATATTACATAAGACAACATTTTGTCTGAGTAACATTGTTATAAAGCAATCCTCAAGACATCACAACATTTCTCACCCTCGAAAGCATTAAAATTGATCAGTTAAACCAAAATAACTATGCCTACAAATCAGTCAGTAACTTAGAACCTAATAGCAACCAAAGTTAAGGACACTCATAAACATATACAACAAACATAAGGTCGTACAAAGTATATCATAAACACACGCAGGAGACGAGTACATCCAGATTATAAAAATCAGTTAATCAACACACAAAAGCTGAACATCCAGGTAACCTTGTTAAATTTTGATAGCATATCAACGTAAAGACATTGACAAGATTTGTAAGAAAAGGTACTGACATGGAATGGTGACGCCACATTTGCGGAATCAAGCTCCATCTCAAACTTTTTCTTTGAGCCTGATCTTTTCTCCTGCAGCCATTTCCTGGCTTCCATAATTGCTGAGGTCCGCATATTTGGAGTAGTTTCACTTAGAGGAAAAAAATCAGGAAAAAAAACAACATAATTGTATCAGGCAATTACGTAGACATTGCTGTCAATATCAGGATCAAAATCTTGCAAAGCAATTTACCAAAAGTTCCATTGTTGTCCACTACACGAGACCTAACAAGTTTTATCAATTCATTTGCTTCTTTCCTGGTCAGAGAAAACATCAACTGACATGAACATACAACTCCAAATTGAACTGTAGCATATTAGATGGTATAACTATCATCACAGAATTAAATGTTGAGTAAACTAATAAAAAGATATGAAGTCGACCATATCTGCTGTAAATGCCAGACAGCAAAATGGGGAATAAGTTGATTCAGTTAATTGTTGCCTGAAGTTAATTGTTGATTCCAAATTTTCTGCCTCTTTCTCCTTTCTCCCCTCACTCTATTTATACTAATGCTAAAGACTATTAACCTGATAATACATTGGAATCACTTATTTTATATTTGGCATAACATGAATATGAGTAAACGAAATGACCTTTTAAAAAGCTACAATCAAATAATCTTGTCTATAGTCATACATAAACCACATTCACTTCATGAATAAATTAATTGCAATTAGTAATAAATCATTATCCTACTAAACAACTAATATTAATAGATATTGTGGAAAGAAAGGGAGGGGAATAGGGGATAGACAAAGGGTAAACAAAAACAAAGGTTAGGGGAAGGAAGATGTGAACTTGCATATTTCTTCCAAATCTTTCATTGAAATGATTTGGTTTATTAAAAAGGAAGGAAAATGGATCCCTTCCAATTTTGCACACTTCCCATCCCCCAAATCATACCCAAAGGTCCTACGAGTAAAGATGAACCCTTCACTTTTCTTCCCTCCCTTTTCCTTAAAATTATCCTTATCCAAACACATTGTACTTGCGGACCAAGAAGCTTCAAATAGAAAAATAAGCAGAATTCTGCAAACATTTAGTACCTTGAATGTGTCTCTTCAGTCACCAACTGTTCAATTGCACGCTTATTATCACTCTTGCTGGATAGAGACAACACCTAAGAAATGAAATACAACACGTCATCTCTCATCTTAGCCCTAAATTTTAGTACCGCTAGAGGTTGCAAATACTCATGAAGGGTAATAAGAGGCAAATTATGGACAGTAGAATACACCAATTCAAGTCCCAAATGCACACTATAGCTCTAAGTAAGCAAAGGACAAACCCTTATTAGCTTGAAGCACCCTAAATTTGATTGCTAACCGTTGTGCCAAAACCTCAGCCAGATTATATGTATACCCCCCCCCCCCCAAGATACACACACGCACATGCACACCTAATAGAAGCAGGGGCATGAAACTCAAACCCCCATATGGATATATATAAAATCAAAGCGCGCAAACATGGAAAAAGCAGCAAAAAGAACTCAAGCATACGTAAATCATATAACAGAATTTTAAGGCGCACTGTTCTTTCATGAAGTTCCAAGACTCAAGGCTATGTGGATACAAGTATATAACAAACAGAAATGATACAATTGGTAGTGCTTCTTACCACAGGATCCCAGACACGGATGATAGCATCTTCACCACAGCTGATTATAGTGCTGTTTAAAGGCCCCCAAACAGATCTATTGATTCTTCTATTTGGACCCTTGATGACAAGAACTGGCCTATCACTCTCTGCAAATCAATGTAAACAATGATGTCATCTTTGGGAGCAGAGTTCAAGGATAATAAAGTGAGAAGGGATAAATTTTAATGGATATACACACAAATTCATAGACAAGTAATGTTAGCGTAAATGCCTTAAAGCCAAAAGCCTGCATGTTGCTTATAAGTTTCATCAAACCACAGCCCAAAAATAAGTGTCCAGAATAGCTTTACAAACTGACTGATAAACTACCTGCCCAACGCTAACTTTTGGTTTCTTGTACAGATTGAACATCCACATGAAGGTAACAAGCACTGACCCATCAGCAAATTGAATCAATGTAGCTATCATGGGATAATGAAATGCCTTCAGAACCCGCAGGAAAGAACATCATACATCACAAAGCAAAAGCTGATGCAAGTAGAGAATCACTGCTTTGTATCAATGTTTACCTATGTGCCTTAGATCAATACAATTTTCCATGAAACATGTACTAAGAACTTTTTTTATATACATGCAACAAGTCTGCGAAACAGAGTGACGCATCCTTGTACAGTTGTACCAGTACATCTCAAAGAAACAAAAACAAAATCACAGCAATCACACACTAACACACACAGTACACAAGAAATCTTCAATAATAAAAAAATATCAAACAAAAAAGATCGAAGAAAAAGGGGGGAATTGATGATAAACCCTAGAAAAAGAAGGCCCTGCCGCTGTGACAAGGAGGTCGTTGTGGTGGAGGTAGAGTTGTGCGCGCTTCAATGACAAACCCTAGATTACCACAACCCTAAAATTACTAAATTGAAAAGCAAATAAATGACAAATCCTATATTACGAATGAATTCAAGGGATTAAGTAGACCACAAGAAAAATCTTACCTCGAAGCTGCTTCAATGGAGGTGAGAAAGCTCAAAATTGGCTTCAATGGAGAATATAGAGCACGGCGAGTTCAATGGAGGCCAGAGATATGGAGAGAGAAGGAGGTGCTGCTTCAATGGAGTGAGAAAGCTCGTAAATCACTTCAATGGAGAGAGAAGGAGGTGATGCTTCAATGGAGTGGAAATTCGGGATGGTGGAAGAGAAGGCGAAAATGAGAGGGAAACAGGAGATGGAGAGATAGGGGGAAAGAAAGAAAGAAAAGCACGCAGCCCGGTTTTTTTTTTAAATTTCGCACCGGTTTGAACCGATGCTTAAACACTATTTCGCATCGGTTTGGTTTGAACTGGTGCAAAATCTCTTTCTCCCTTTTTTTTTCCTCATTTATAATTCGCACCGGTTTATTAGGAACCGGTGCGAAAAGTATTTTCCCCAATCCCGCCCATTTCTTTTCCCACCGGTTTTCAAGAACTGGTGCTAAAAGTGCGCTGCGTAATTCATTTTTTCTACTAGTGGATGATCAGTATTTACCAGCTTCATTGATCCTCTTTCTTTTTAAGTCGCTACCTAGACGGGATGTCTTTGGCTTGCATGTGCCAACAATATTTTCAATTGGCTTCTATGCAGCATGTTAAGTTAGAATATCCCAAGCATGCTAATCACGGAAAGTTTTAGTCATCAATTTTGTCTTTATTTTATCAGTAGCATAGATCTTATATGCTGTCTTCATAACATCCTCATCATTCTCACCACTTTTCCTTCTAAATTCAGCACTAGAAAATGACCTAGAAAATTTAGAGCATAAAGCGTTAATCCTTCTCCATCGGCATTTAAGTTGCTCTATACCTCTAAACTTTAACTAATCTTCTTGTGTAACCCCTTCGATACCTTCCTTAAAACACTTTTGTTTATATACTCTAATATTATCAAACATTTGTTTAATTTTCTTCCAGATCAAAAACTTCCCCTTTTTGGTTCGTATTAGTTATTTTATTACGACTTACCTCATGCCAAGATTTCACAAGAGTCACTTCTTCAGCTTTAGACCAAAACCGGATAACCTACTTGATTACCTCTTTCATTAGCTCTATCATTTTCTTCAACTTATTCTTCATCATCACTGTCATCTGATGGTGCATTCGATCTATATAAACAATCAAAACCCAAAAATGCAGATCACCTTGTGGCATAGTGAAATGTTGTGAGATAGGAAATGTGGATTCATCTTGAGATAATTGAAAATTTTGAAAAGATGAACAATTTGTAGCTGGAAAATCATCTTGACAATATGAGAAGTTCAGATTTTATGGTGGTCGTGGAGGGAATTAAGTGAAAGTATTTGGATTTGAGAAATTCACATTTCTAGAAACATAATTAGAAAATTGTGTAAAATTAGGTTCCAAATCAGAGTTGAGATCAAGGGGATAATTAGAAAAAGAAGGTTAAATATTTGGATTATTTTGAAGTTGTGATGAGTTTTTGGATTTTGTGGGATGTTTTCCCTTTGGGATTTTGGGTTATTCATCTGTAAGAGTTTTAATTTCACTGTAGGGAATTTTTCAAACTCAACTTTTGAGCTCCACTGTGATCATGCTTTTAGGCATGGAGGCGCTCCAAAGAAAGGAAGCTAGAGATAAAAGAGGATCAGGGATGATTGTACGAAGTGAGTCATGGAATCAAATTCGCCTGTATTGGCCTCTACTCGATTCTTATAGTGAAAAGTATTCTCTGCAATCTCAAAGGCATACAAACAAAGATTCAATTTTCTCCAAACTAAATTAGGCTAAATTGGTTGAATATTAATGCACACATAATTCTATTATTTTATCACTTGATTCACAACAAGATAAAAGAAGGAACCTAAACATATCGTCAATGTTATCTTATTAATCGTTGTTTTCAATTACATATTCCTTTAAACATGCAATATGGTGATTAATAAAACAATAGAATAAGAAATAACATTAGAAGAAATTTAACCATAAAACATAACAATTAATACATGAAAAACATAATAAAAATTGTTAGAATTATAATAAGAATAGAAGGAGCATGATTTCTTACTTTGATTGCTTTTGCTTGCAGCTATAAAACAATAAACACGCTAGTAACTTTAAGGAAAATAATAAATAACAAAAACATTAAATTAAAACAACAATGGAAATGATATTGCTTTGGTCCAAATAAACCCTCAAACAATTCTACCTTTCACGACTTAGTTTAAGTATGGAACTTTGGGTAAAGTAGGGACTCCTTGGAGTGCTTAGAGGATGAATGGTGACGTTACGATGGTAATAAGTATAAGGGGGAAAATGAGAAGAGAAGAATATGTGTGTTGGTGACCCAAAACTCATAAATAAGCCTCGTATTTATAGGAAAAAATGAGGGTAAACAGTCTGGAACCCTAGAGATGAGGTGCCGCTAAAAGAAAAGTGTATTCAACACGATGTAGACATCTACTTTTGGTCCCATGTCCCGACCGTAAGTTCTATGATGATAAATAATTCTATCTTTGTGCAAGATTGAAGTAAGGAATGCCAATGGACTATTGATTGAAGCTTAAACACATAAAACAGACTAGCTTCACCCAAACGAAATGAATTAATGCTCAATAAAACTAAGCCCGATAAGAAATTAGGCCTAATCTAAGAGTTTAACATAATCTCGGACGAATTTAGGGCGCCTAAGTTAAAATCTAAAGCTGCCAGAGAAAAATCCGGGCGCAACTCAAGAAGTCCTGCTCAGCAATCGCGCACAACTTACATAGTTGCGCACAACAACCCAGCGTAACTCTCAGTGTTGTGCTTGCAGAGATTCAGAATTTCAGAAAGATACGAAATCGAATCTTACCATACAGCCACGCGCAAGAGCAGAAGTCACGCTACCTTGTGCAGCGCAACTCCTCCACTTGTGCGCGGAAGCCACGCGCAACTTCTAGAGTTGCGCGTGCCCCCTGCTGCGGCAGAATCTCCAAAACCCTAATATCAACCATTCCCTATAAATAAAGGTTCAAAACGAGCTTTGAAAACACAGAAAAATAGCCAGAAAGTCAGCAGTAATACTTTGTGAACTTATGCAATAATTAAACCCTCTTGTCCTAAACAGTCACCGTTTTATTACTTTGTCCTTACGGTGGAGGTTCCCAAACAAGGAGTCCATTTGCATTCTAAACGAAGATCTAGCAAGGAAAAGTGGTAATTCCCGAGCACTTAATTTAAATCACCTTTCTTTTCTTATCTTAAATCACTTAAATTGACTAATTACTGTTTCTTGATCGCTTTAAATAAACTTTTAATTAATCAATTCGACATAGTATTCTTTCGTTAAATAAGACTAGAATTGAATGAATTAATTGATTGTTTTATCACTTAAGGCGAATCTTGTTTATTTTGTTCTTTTTACGAATTTAAATTAAATAAGAATAATGACATTCGTTGCAATGTAATCTTTTTGTGATTAACGAGTGTAAATAAAATCAATTAACTTTGTTTTATGTATCACGTTGCATATATTGTTTGGCAAAGAAATTGTGAAAAAGGAAGAGCTAGTAGAGGCCGCCCTAGGGCTAGGATGGCGATTCCCCTAAAAAAGGAACGTTATCTTAATACCCTCGCTCCCGAACTCAATTCTGGGCATAGAGGAAATGGGATTTCCAACGATGGGCTACCCTCCTCATAGTGGCGACTCCGTTGGGGACTTAGAGGTTACAAGATTAGTTTTTGGTTATGGTTTAAGGTTTCCCACTTAGGTTACCTATGAGTTGTAATGAAAGGCTAACTTGGATAATCTCTAGTTAGAGAGCAAGACTTGAACGCATAATATGTTCCTTTTTTAACAAAACTAAAAGCCAAACAAGCAAGATTGCATCATGCACAATCATAGCACACTTCAAACAATGGAGATTGGCTCATTGACTAGGGATCGGAAACACTAGGCTTCTATCCCAAAACCAATAACAATCATCCCACCCATATTGTCAACAAAATGTTGGGAGAACCATGCCATGGGTCAACACGTTGAGTGATTGATTCATACATCGTTCTTAAGATATGGTACCTTTGGACACCCAAGCCTTAACCATAGAACGACATTATGTGCTTTGACGGTTCCTTTTGAATGCTTATGTGATTGCATAACTATATGTAGCGTGTGTAGGATAGTCTAACCCCTTTTAGGAAGATCCTACTTGGATTAGCTCATTTATGTCTCTCAACAAGAGTGAATTAATTTGGGTTGGTTAAGAAATGTACCAGCTTGGTGCTTTAAGTAGAACCTTGATAGTGCGATCCCTCTTTTTAAAAGTTTTTATTTTTCTCGTAAGAGTCTTAGTTTAGGTTCCCAACTACGAAGTCGTCCCTTCGTAGTCTCGAGCCACGTTCAAGGGATATCAAGAATAAAAAAAACGTTAAAAAAAAGAGAGAAAGAGCGCATATAAAAAAAATCTTTCAAAAAAAATAAAGAAGTCGTTAGAAACAGGTGGCGCGCACAACTTATATAGGTGCGCGACCCCTACCAGCGCAAGTTGCGCACGCCTACTACTATAAGACCATTTTGGTTCTTCATTAACAAATGGTTCATCCAACAATATCGTTTTTTACGAATTGATGAAAGGTGATGATATCTCTTTGAATGTAGTTTTGCGTCTTTTCCTTCTTTTTTATTTCTTTTTCTTTTTTTTCCTCTTTAAAAAGGCAAGCTTGTCAGTTTTCTTAATTTTTCGTATTTCCTTTACGGCTGGTTATCAAGCTTGGGAACGAAGGCACACTAGCGCTCGCATTCTACGTTTACCACCTACTGAAAACAATCCGTCCCTTTCAAATCATTCCCCTCTTTCAACTCATCCTAGTCCAACAATGTCAACCATCGAACAACTCCAAGAAGAGATTGCTCGCATGAGGGAAGAAAAGGCTCTAAAGGCCGAGGAGAGGAGAATCAAGAAAATTGAAAAGGCCGAAAAGAAAGAGGTCGAGGCTTTAGCCATAAAAAAAATGGAGGCTTTAGCCGAACGTGAAAAGACATTGGAGAAGCTTGTTCTTTGTTCTACTATGGGGAACAAGTACTTTGACACAGAAAAGTTTGCTCCTCCCGTAGGACTTACTTTACATGAAAAGTTTGTAGCTATAGGCTTGCCAATGTTTAAGGTGACCAATAATCCAAAAAATCATCTACTGAGTTTTTACAAGCACCATGGCTTTAAAGGGAATCGATCCTAAGCTCTATGCTTTGACGTTCTCTTTATCTCTAGACCCAGCCGCAAGAGAGTGGTACTATGGGCTAGATGCTAAATTCAAGAGTACATGAGAAGATATAGTTTCTGCTTTCATCACCCAGCATGAGAGTAACGTGGAGTTCAAATCAACTTTGCGTGAACTC